AAAAAAAAAAAAAAGCTTTTGCACAGCAAGAGAAATCACCAAGAGTGAAGAGATAACCCACAGTGTGGGAAAAAATGTTTGCCAGCTTTTCCTCAGACAAAGGATTACTACTGAGAACATATAAAGATTGAAAAAAAAAATTCGGCCCCCCCAAATTTAAACACCCAATCCAAAAATGGGCATCTGAGATGAATACACACTACTCAGATGAAGTACAGACAGTAAAAAAAATATGAAAACAATGTTCAACATCACTGACCATTCAAGAGATGCAAATTAAAACAACACTAAGATTCCATCTCACCCCAGAGAGAATGGCAATCATCAAAAAATCAACCAATAACAAATGCTGGCAGGGATGTGGGAAAAAGGAACCCCTCTCCATTGTTGGTGGGAATGTGATCTGGTACAACCACTGTAGAAATCAGTGTGGAGATTCATCAAAAAACTAGGACTAGAGGTTCTTTCTGACCCAGCCATTCCCCTCCTGTGTATCCTCCCAAAAAAATGGAAAGCTTCATATCACAGCGATATATGCACAACTGTGTTTATAGCAGCACAGTAGTTTATAATAGCCAAATCTTGAAAACAACCCAAGTGCCCATCACCTGGCGGGTAAATAAAGAATATGTGGGGTTTTTTGGCACTAAAGCCATTTTTCTAATTTTTTTATTTTAAAGAGAATTTTTAAAAATATAAAAATGATACAGAATTTCAAAACAAGATGATAGGAAATAAACAATGGTTGTTACATTGCATATCATTATCTACAAAGTAGTTGTTCAGATTACCAGATATAGGCATGCAAAATTGATGAAAAAAAGGAATATGTGGTCTTTTTACACAATGGAGTATTACCCTGCCATGAAGAGGTATATGCTCAAGGCATTTCTCGGAGAATGGATGCACATGTATAAATACAACGCTGTTTCTCTGGTGAGAGAAACCAGAAGTGTAAATGAGGACAAAATGTGCAGTTGGTATTGAGAAATAAGGAGAAAATGTTCAAATGGGGAGGAGAACAGAGAAAATGGAGGGGGAAAGGAAAGAAGCGAAATGAGAAAAAAGAAAACCATGGAAACAAAGCCTTTATAAATGAGAAGAGGGGGGCTGGGGATTTAGCTCAGCGGCAAAAGCGCCTGCCTGGCAAGCGCAAGGTCGTGAGTTCAGTTCCCGGTACCGGAGAAAAACCAAAAAAATGAGAAGAGGAAAAGGGATTAAAGGGAAGGTAGAGTACTGAGAAAAAAACAAGTTATATCATGTACAGGTACAAACACTCTACAATGAATGTAAACATTATGTATATCTAAAATGCACAAACAAAATTTGATACAAAAAATTCATTTTTATTTTTTATTTTGAGGCAGGGATTGCTAAACTGCTAAATTACACAGGCAGGGCAGGAACTTGTGACCCACCTGCCTCAGCCTCCCAGACTGTGGGGATGACCAGCATGCCTGGCCAGGATGACCTCCTTCTAGCTGTGGGTGACAGAGGCAGGCAGTGGGTGCTCGGTGCAGAAGGAAATGGCGCCCAGCCACTAGTCAGGGAGGGCAAGGCAGCGGGGCGGCAGCTCAGTCTTGATCAGGGCCAACTGGATCAACCTAAAGAACGCTGAATTTAAAACATTGAAGGGCCAGGGATATAGCTCAGCAGTATAAGCTTCTGCCTGGCAAATGCAAGGTCCTGAGTTCGATTCCCTTACCAAAAAAATAAAAATAAAACATTGAAGTAAAAAATAAATAAATAAAATTAAAATGAAAAATTGAAGTAAAGACCGCATGACATCAATGGACAATTCAGTGTCACTGAAGACGCCCACACATTGTGCAGTTATCGCCTCTCTGGGGTTGCAAAATGTTTTTGTCATCCCTCAGAGAAATCTGTTCCTCATTAGCAGTCACTCCCCGCCCCTTCCCCAGCCTCTGGCACCACTGGCCTGCTTCCTGGCTCTGTCGATGTACCCACTTTGCAGATTTCGTGTGCACGCAGTCTTACAGTGTACGGTGCCGTGTCTGGCTCCTCTCACTGAGCACCCTGTCTCTGAGGCCCATTGGAGCCACACTGTGCATCAGAACTTTATTCTCCTTTACGATGAATAACACAAGGATGAGTGAGAAAAACACACTGTGTGTTTAAAGAAAGAAAGAAACAAACACCATTACAGTAAAAGATGCGTTGTGAGGAACCCTCCTCTCTGAGCATACTTACCCCACCATTCTTGCCACTTTCTGAAGAAGTTCTGGAAGTCCTCTTCTGTGAGTGTCTTCGTGAAGGGTGACAAAACTATTCAGTGGATGCTGCAGCCGAGTGCCGTCGGGGCTCATTAAAACATGACTGTGGGTCATCACTCACCTTATTCATGGCTCTGACACTGTGTGACTCCTGGTTCTTCCTTGAAGTTAAAAAGATCATTCAAGTTAAATATTTTAAGCGGATTCAGTATGTAGAGGCAGCCACAAGAGTGCAACTAAAGACACAGAAAAGGATTTCCATGAGCCTGGTGTGGTGATGCACACCTGTAATCTCAGCACTTGGGAGGCTGAGGCAGGAGGATCTCCTCAAGTTTGAAGCCAGTCTGAGCTACATACTGAGTTCAAGGTCAGTCTGAACTACAGACCAAGACCTTGTCTCAAAATAAAAACAAAACAAAACAAACTAACAAACAAACAAGACTCAGAGAATAGCTTCAGAAATTGGCAAGAATGATGCAGTAAATGTGTTCACAGCAAGGGGGAGTGTCTTGTGGGGAATTAGTGGAAATATGTGTTTTATTGTAATCGACTATCAGAGATGTGAACATTAACTAGTTTCAGTCACACCTTGCACATCCTGATGTGAAACACCCCATGCTATTTATCCATTCATCAGCTGTTGCACATTTAGCTTCTATTTCTGGTGTTTGTCAGTGGTGCTGCTACAAACATTTCTGTAGTTGTTGGTGAAGAGCTTTTCAACTCTCTTGGGCCCACACCTAGGAGTAGAAATGCTGGGTTGTATGGTAACTCTCTCTTTAATTCCAAGGAACCAGCTATCTTGTTTTAACTTGCATCTGTTTGTCATAATTTTGGGGGTTTTTTGTCTTTTTGAGACAGGGTCTCACTATGCAGTTCAGGCTAACACTGAGCTCACTTTGTAGCCCAGGCTGGTCTCAAAATAAAAATATTTTAAAGAACAACTTTTTCCCATTTGGTATTGGATCTTCTACTTGCTCATTGTCCACTGGGGTCTTAGAGGACCACAGTTAACTTGGTTAAGCTGGGCCTCTGGCCTGGTAGTGATGCTTCTGAGTGCCCTACCCTGACTGTCTCCTGTCCCATCCTGTCCCCGGGGGTGAAGCATCCACACAGCCGGGGCATGTGCTGATCTTAGCTTACATCCCCAGTACACAGGGGTCCACAGGACCCCACAGCTGCCTACACGGGTGGCTCCCATGCAGTAGAGCCTGAGACCCTTTCGTGGGCCCCTCCTCTGGGTAGGACTGTGACGCGGTGTGTGCTGCTCTGCGTGTGGCCGAGCGGTGGCCACTGGCGGAGGCTGCGGCCTGCACGTACATGCGTGGGACATTTGTGCACAGACACGTGAGGTCCCTTGTAGTGCTGTCTGGGTGGGGCCTGGGGCGGGAGAGGAGGAGACAGGCCATGGCCCGGGGCGGGCTCACCGCGCCCCCCACACTACCTCCCTGCTGGCTGTGGAACTCTGAGAGTCCGGAATTCTGTGTTTGAATCTGGCTTTCAGGTCCGTATCAAGGCATGTTTTGAATGCAGGGAGTCAGACCACATTTGATTTCACTATTTGTTAACTTCATTTTTCACTTTAACTATTCTGTCACCTAGTGTGTGGATGTTTCTTTGAACACTGCAATTGTTAATAGGTTGGCCTGTGGGGTTTTTTTTCTCTCAATAATTTGTAAGCCTGACCACTAGAGGGCAGAAAAGGCAGGCTGTCTTGGTCCCGGCCCTTTTTTCAAAGGCGTTTCAGAACTCAGGTTGAGCTGTGTTTATCTAAACCTATTCTTTTTTCTAAATTACACAGTTCTTTTAATTGACATCCAGAAATGGCATGTATTTATCATGTCAACAATATGAGGTTTTAAAGTATGTAGGCATTATGGCACAGCTAAATTGAACTAATTAGCACTTGCATTGCTTCACTAAGTATATTTTGTGGTGGGAACTCAACATTTACTCTCAGTACTTTCAAGCCTGCAGTCCATTGCTATGAATTACAGTGTCCTTGTTATACAATAGATGTCTTTGTCTCTTTTTTTTTTTTGGTTTTTTTTTTTTTTTTTTTTTTTTTTTTTTTTTTTTGGTTTTTCTCCGGTACCGGGAACCGAACTCACGACGTTGCGCTTGCCAGGCAGGCGCTTTGCCGCTGAGCTAAATCCCCAGCCCCTCTTTGTCTCTTTGTTTTATTGAGACAGGGGCTTGCTCTAGAGGCAGGCTGGCCTGGGACTTGAGATCCTCCTGCCTCAGCCTCTCCATGTGCTAGGGTTACAGGTGTGCACCACCATGCCTGGCAATAGATCTCTTAAATGCATTTACCTCATCTAAGTCAAATCTGGTAAACTTTGACCGACATCTCCCTAAATGCCAACCTTCCTGCTCCTTGTAATGAATGTTTTGCTTTCTATGAGTTCTACTTCTGTACATTCCACATGTGTGAGCTCATGTGGTAGCTGGGCCCGGCTTATTTCACTTAGCAGGATGTCCTCCAGGATTAGCCGCGCTGGTGTGAATGACAGGATTTCTTTCTGTCTTTGTCTGGTGATAGAGACCGAGTGTGCTTTGAGGCCTTACCTCTCATGAATAATGCTGCAAAATCATTAGAGTGCAGACACCTCTGACATTCTGAGTTCGTCAGTGAACTCTTTGTTCTTATCATGGTACTGAGCATTGAACCTGGGGCCTTTGCTGTGAGCTCATTCTCCAAACCTTTAACAATTTTTCTTTTTATATTGAGGCAAGGTCTCACTCAGCATTAAGTTGCCCAGGCTGATATGTAACTTGTGATCCTCCTGCTTCAGCCTCTCAAAGAACTGGGATTACCAGGGTGCACAACCATGCTTTACTATCAATTAACTCTTGATAAGTCGGGAAAGATCGTCTTACAGTCACTTTCCTTAAGGCAAAGTCTGTGTTCCAACGGAGTGCAGAATACTCACATACACATGCACCCACCTATAGATATAGCCATTGAGGTAGCAGGTTAATCAGGTAGAATGTGACAAAACTGTCATCCATCCAGGATCTCTCCTGACATCTCATCAAGGTGTTCCAGAATCTCATGGTTATTCTTCAGTTAACTGAATCTCTTTAGTTATTCTTCAGTTACCCACATTTATCTATGACATATAGTGTGTAGCAGCCCCAGTAGTCTTAGGAGGCCTATGAAGTTCTTTCAATGTCTTTGAAAGTTTGATTTTAAAAAAAGACATTTAAGATTGGTTAAAGATTACATACATCTTTATACTGGGACAGACTCAAAATGCAATTTTTAGTTTTTTTGCTTTGTAGCTTGCTTGCTTTCTTCTTCCTCTTCCTCCTCCTCCTTCTTCTCCTCCTCTTCCTACTCCTCCTCCTCCTTCTCTATCTCTTTCTCCTTTTTCTTCCTCTTCTTTTTCTCTCCCCCCACATGATGGAGCCCAGCACCTCACACATGCTAAGTGAGCACTATACCATGAAGATTCATCCCATCTCAGAAAAATGAGATTTGTTTCATGGGTATTGTATAAAGTTCTGCATATGAGTTTTGGAAATATGGCCATTTTTTGCAATATTTGTTCTGCTTATTCTGGAACAGGAGCTATCTAACCATTTTCTCACATCCTCTTTAATCTCCCTTTTAATAATTATCATTTTTGTTGTAGAGGTCTTTCACGCCTTTAGTTAGGTTAACTCCTAAGTATTTAATTTTTCTTTAAGCTACTATGAATAATGTTGTTTTCTTAATTTCTTTCCTGATGGATTCATTGGGGTTTTGTTTGGTTTGGTTTGGTTTGGTTGGGTTGGGTTGGGTTGGGTTGGGGTGGGTTGGGTTGGATTTGGTTTTTGTTTTGGTTTTCTGAAACAGGCTCTTGCTATGTAGTTCAGGCTAGCCTTAAACTCACTATGTAGCCCAGGCTGGCCTCAAACTTGCAGTGATTCTCCTGCTTCAGCCTACTGGGTGTCTTACTTCCTTTGTTGCTGGGACAAAATACTTGACACTCACAAGTTAAAGGAAGAGATGTTTATTTCAGCTCACAGGTTTCAGCCCATAGTTGGCTGACTTCAGGGGAGGTAGCATGGCAGAGAGGAATAGCAGAGGAGAAGCAGCTCATGGCATGGCAGGCAGGAAGCAGAGTAAGATCAAAGGGAGGAGGAAAGGAGATAAAACGACAACTAGGCCACCCCTACAGACACAAAACTTCCTACCAGGATTCCTCCCAACATCACACTCAGCTATACACTCATCAGTGGAGTAATCCATTGGTGAGTATCACACTCCCATTATCCATTCATCTCCCAAAATCTCCACCTATGAATTCATGAGGCTCTATGAATGCATGAGGGACACCTAGATATAAACCACAGCAATGGGTGTAGTAGTCCATTTTAGAGAAAGTTCCATGTGCTGCTGAGAAGAATGTTATTCTGTTGTTATTGGTTGGAACATTATGTAGATATGTATTAAAACTAGCTGATAGAAGACATGGTTCATCTCTGACACTTCTTTCTTGATTTTTTTGTCCAGTTGATCTATTTTTCATAGTATGGTATTGAGGTATTCCATTATTTTATTTATTTTATTTTATTTTATTTTATTTTTTGAGACAGCGTCTTGCAATACAGTTCAGGCTGACCTCAAACTCATGGCAATCCTCCTGCCTCAGCCTCCCAAGTGCTGGGATTACATGTGTGCACTACCATGTCCAGGTGAAGTCTACCATTATAACAGCAGTGATGTTGATCTGATCTTTCTGTCCAGTAGTATTTGTTTTATAAAATTAAATGTGCCAGAATTTGATGCATATATATTTATAATTATCATTCCTTCCTGTTGAATTGCTCCTGCTGGGGGCTGATCAGACCCTCAAATATCCATGGGGGGAATGATGAGGAAGAAAAAAAGACAAAGACAATATTCAAGGTACAAGCTGGGCATGGTGGCACACGCCTGTAATCCCGGCACTCGGGAGGCTGAGGTAGGAGGACGGTTGTGAGTTTGAGATCAGCCTGGGCTACAAAGTGCACTCAAGGCCAGCCTGAACTACAAAGCGAGGCCCTGTCTCAAAACGACCAAAAAAAAAAAAAAAAATTCAAGGTACAAGGGGAGCTGGGTGAATGTGCACCCCTTGTGCACATCCATAGTTGACCCACTTTTATTAGCAAATGAGAAGCACAGGAAAAGTGGAGGTGTACTTTTCATGGAAAAATGGCTGCAGCAGATAGGGAAAAGTTAATGGGCTGCATAGATAGGGAAAAGCTAAAAGTTAACAGGTTTTTCCCTGTACCTGGATGCCTGCATTCTTTACATTATCTTAAGCCGATGTTATCTTGTCTTAGGAGCTCTGTAGTTATGAGCTTTCTCTGCACAGGCAGGCAGCAGGCAGCCTTCCACATACTTCTCTGTTCCTAAAGTTAGGTCACCAGTCGTGTAGCCTGGTTTCCAGCACAGTAAAATATTATTTCCTATCCCCTGGTCCCCAACAGTTCCCTTAACCAATACGTAGTGACCTTCTTTGCCTTTTCTGATCAGTTTTGGTTGGAAGTCCACGCTACCTGAAAATCGAATAGCTACTTCTGTTTGCTTTTGGGCTCCCATTGGCTGGTATAGAGTTTTCTATCCTTTGATTTTTAGTGCACAAGTTTATTTTGGGATTAAACGTGTTTGTATGCAGCATAACATTGGGTTTTGTTTTTGATCTATTCTGCCAGTCTGTGTCTTTGGCTGGAGAACTGAGATCATGCACATTGAGAGTTATTACTGAAAGGTATTGACTTATTCCTGTCATCCCGTTGCTTTCCTGTTACTGATTCCCTTATTGACCTGGTTTGTTTATCTGCTCACCCTGCCTGGTCTGTGCATTCTATCTGAGCTTTTGGCATTGCTGGATTCATTGTTTCTAAGATATCCTTGAGAATGTATTTGAGCATTGGTATGGTGGTCATGAAGCTGTTGTTCTTGTTGTTGTTTTTGTTGCTGTTGTTGTTGTTGTTGTTAAGGAAAGACCTTTTTCTCTATCAATTTTGGAAGATAGTTTTGCATGATATATCAACCTGCATTGGAAGTTGTTTTCTTTTAGGGCTTGAAACATTTCACTCCAAGCTCTTTAAGATTAATGTTGAAAAACCTCCTGAAATTTTAATGAGCTTTCCTTTATAAGTGATTTCTATCTTTTCTCTAACAGCTTTTATGAATCTGACTTTGGCACTTCTGGGATTTCAACTATGATGTGCCATGAAAAAGTTATTTTCTGCTCATGGCTATTTGGAGTGCTGTATGCCTGGCTTGCCTATCCTTTTTCTTTCAAGACAGCGTCCTGTTGAGTTGGTAATTTTCCTAGGCTGAGCTGGAAAGTCCACCCTTCTGCCTCAGGCTCCCAGAGGGCTGGGATTACAGGTATGCACTACCTCTTCCTATGATTTTCTTTTTTTTTTTTTCCTATGATTTTCATACCCATTGAAGAAACACTGTCTGGGTGATATTAGGAAAGGAAATGACTTAGTATTCTGGACTACTATGACCTGTTTGGAAGAGAGAGATGGATTCTTCTGTATCACTGATATCTAGCAGGCCCTCACTATGTGCCCTATTCCATTTTTCTGTGTCTCCTCTCAGGCTCCTGAGAAGCTGAGGGGAAATGGGACGTGGCTGGTGACAGAATTTGTGCTGGTGGGATTCTCCAACCTCCCACACCTGAGGACCACCCTCTTCACGTTGTTCCTCCTCACCTACCTGGTCACCCTCAGTGGCAACGTCACCATCATCACCATCATCCATGTGGATGGGACCCTGCACACGCCCATGTACCGCTTCCTGGCAGTGCTGTCCCTCTCTGAGACCTGCTATATGCTGGTCACCATCCCCAATATGCTGGCCCACCTGCTGATGGAGAGCCAGGCCATCTCCATCCCCGCATGTCGGGCTCAGATGTTCTTTTTCCTGGGCTTGGGATGCAGTCACTGCTTCCTCCTTACCCTGATGTGTTATGATGGGTGTGTGGCTATCTGTCACCCCCTGAGATACTCAGTGATCATGAGACTCACTGTCTGCCTCTGCCTGGGAGCCTTGGTTTTCTGCTCCGGGTTCTCAGTGGCCTTGATTGAGACCTGCATGATCTTCTCCTCACCCTTCTGCCGTGGGGACCGCGTGGAGCACTTCTTCTGTGACATCGCCCCGGTGCTGAGGCTCAGCTGCACCCAGAGTGCTCACAAAGCCCTGGGCATCTTCTTCCTGAGTGTCCTTGTGGTGCTGGTCTCTTTCCTCTTCATCCTGCTGTCCTACGCCTTCACTGTGGCTCCCATCGTGAGGATGCCCTCGGCCACCAGCTGCCACAAAGCCTTCTCCACCTGTGCGACACACCTCCCTGTGAACACTTCATTTGGGTGTGCTGCCTTCGTCTACTTGCATCTGAACTCCTGGGCCCAACCCCAGAAAGACCACCTGATGGCGCTGTTCTACATGGTGGTGACTCCACGGCTGAACTCTGTGGTCTACACCCTGTGCCACAGGGAGGTGAGGGTGGCTCTCAGGAGGATGCTGACTTGTGGCCACATGACTTTTCAATAAGGAATCTCTATGCATTATTCAGTAACCCCTGCCCCTCTTGAGACTGAGTTTCCCCACCTGGAAAACAAAAGCCACTTTTGAACTGCTGTGCCTTGTGTTTCTGAAATTTTTTTTTCTTTTTGGAGTTTTTGGTGTTTGTTGTTTTGTTTTTTGAGACAGGGTTTCTCTATGTGGTTCGTGCTGGGCTTAAACTCAGTAACTCAGGCTGGCCTCAAAGGGTTTTCCTCCTGCCTGATCTTCCCTGGTGAGTGCTGTGATTCTAGGCATGTACTGCCATGCCCAGCAAAACACTCACCTCTCAAATTTCTTGTAAAAAAACCTTAGTGTCCAGCACAAGTATTGACAGGTGAGACCTTTAAGACATGATTACCTCATGAGGGCCCTGACCTTTGCATGGATTCATGCTAGTATGGCAGAAGTGGGTTAATAATATTGGGACTGCTCTCTGTCCCCTTCATGGCTCCAGGGCTTCTTGCCCTTCCACCTCTCGCATGGAATGATAAAACAGCAAGGACCCCGCAAGCCAGGCACAGTGCTGTGCACCTGTAATCCAACCTCCTTAACAGGCTGAGGCAGGAGGATCAAAAATCTTAAATCAGTGTGGGAAATTTATCTAGACCTTATCTCAAAATAAAAAATAGCCCCACACCAGAGATAGCCCTTCCTCTTTGGGCTTCCCAGCCTTCAGAACCATGAAAAATAAATCCCCGCTCTTTGTAAATTACCCCAAATATAGCATTCTATTGTAAGAGCACCAAAAAGGAAAAAAAGCTGAGCAAGCTGGGGATGATGACACACACCTTTAATACCAGTACTCTGGGAGGCTGGAGCAGGAGAATCTAAAGTTTAAACCCAGCCCAACCAACTTAGGAACTTAGCAAGATCCTGTTTCAAAAATAAAAATAAAAAGAGTTGAGGACATAGCTCAATATAAAGGGCTTGGGTTCAATCTCATTTATTACAAAAAAAAAAAAAAAAGCCAAGACAGAAAATTGGCACCAGGAGTTGGGTTTTTCTAACAAATACCTGATAATGTGAAAATAGCTTTGGAACTATGTAATCAATAGAGAATGGAAGAATTCATACAAACAGGTTAGGAAAAGCCTATATTTGCATGAATTGAACATTAAATGTTATTCTGATGTGGTCCCAAAAGAAAAGAAGAAATATAGGGAAATTTTGAATTTTTTGGAGATTACTTAAATGGTCATGGTTATATTAATAGAAATATGAACCCTATGAGTTCTCAGATGGAAAGGAGATATTAAACTAAATCCTTGGAAACTAAATCCCATCCTTGTTATAAACTGTCAAGAAACTTGGTTGAACTGTGTCTGTGACTAATGGTTTTATGGAAGGCAGAACCTAACAGCAACAAACTAAGATATTAGGTGGAAAAAAATTCTTTTTTCTTTTTTTTTCTTTTTTTGAAGAAATTTCTAAGCAAAATATTGAAACCATGTCTTGACACTAAAATTTTTTAAATGGGTAGGGATATGGCTCAGTGGTAGAGTGCTTGCCTAGTATATGTAAGGCCCTGGACTCCCTCTCATGCACCACAAAATACAGATATATATACAGTTAAAGTAGCTGTGTGTCTGATTTTTTTTTTTTTTTTTTGTACTGGGGGTTGAATCCATGGACTTTTCACTAAGCTATCTCCCCAGCCCTTTTTTAGCTTTCTATTATCTTCATCATATGATCCAACAATTCCACCCCTAGATATTTTTCTTATGAAATGAAAATTTAAATCCATGCAAAAACCTGTACACTAAAATTTATAGCAGTTCCATGCATAATTGAGAAACATTGGAAACAACTCAAATGTCCTTCACTGGTGAAAAAAACTGTGGTATATCCATATGACAGAATACTACTCAGCAATGAAAGAAGAAACTATTGGAAAGTGCAAAATAGAAAATAGAAGATCACTAGGAGTGAGCCACACATACCGCTCCCTGGCGGAGCACTTGACTAACATGGTTGAAGTCCTGGGTTCCATCCTCAGCACCACAAAGGAAATTTAAAAAAAAAAAAAAAGGTAAACCAGGTGTAGAGGTACATGCCTGTAATCCCAGTACTGAAGGAGGCAGAGACAGGAGGCTGTTGAGTTTGAGTCTAGCCTGATTAATTAAATGATTTAGGGAAAATTTGCCTCAAGATAAAAAGTTGCTTTTTGTTTCTGTTTTTGTTTTTTGAGAGCTGGGGAGGTGGCTCAGTGCAAAGGCCCTGAATTCAGTCCTCAGTATTGAAAAAAAGAGAGAGAGATTAAACTCACAAATCAACTTCTCAACCCGGGGCAGGGGGCTCAGGAGATTATAGATATAGAGTAAAAGGAATGAGGGGGAGAGACAGGCTAATAAAGAAGAGGAACACGCAAGTATGTGTTTTCTTGAAATGGAGACCGATGTTTTCTGGGAATCCTGCCTCTGCCTCTTTTTGTCTTTCTGTGGTTCTTTTCTGTCGTTGTCAAGGCAATTGTCTACCTCAAGGGACTGCTATTTCAAATGCAGATGGGATTATAATGAAGATAGAGGTCGTTGGTGGGCAGTCGGGCAGGGAGGAGGAGGGCAGATGTGGAGGGGAAACTGCAGACATTCCAACAAGGACATCGTACCTGAAGTCCCCAAAGAGATGAGGTCCCATGCACATCAAAGTTTGCGTCCCACGATCTTATTTTACGAATCACCACCACAGGCTTCCTAGGGTCTCTCCTAATATCCCTTCCCTACCCAGAGTTCCCAGGGACACCTAGAGTGCTTTCCCCTGTAGAACATTTTCTGTCTTGGTTTTAGTTTTGTTTTAGTTTTTTTGCTTTTGTAGTATGGAGGTTGAACATACTGAGCTACATCCCCAGCCCTCTTCTTACTTTTTAGAGAGAGGATCTTATTAAGTCACTAAGATGCTCAGGTTGGGCTCCAACTCATGATCCTCCTGCCTCAGCCTCCTTGAGGGTTGGGATGGCAGGGGTGTACCACCACACCTAGCTGGGGCACTCTTCTGATGGTATTTATGTAAAGCCAGAGTCACATGATACGGTGGACAGTGCAGGTGGAAGAATGACTTTCTCCCCATCTCTGTAGCCCTCAGGAGGAAGGATCCCCAGATTGGCTTGAGCCACAGAAGAGTTTGAATTTTCCTCAGACACACAGCTAAGATGGGCTTTCCTGAAGCCAGATTCAAATACAAGGGGTTGACTTGAGAGATAACTTTAGAAACCAGCAGTAGGAAAGCAAGGGTGAGCACGCTTCTTCAGTGGGCACCAGGAACCCAATGCAGAGAGCATCCTCAGATGGACTCTGCAAATAGCACCCCAGACGTGTCCCTCAAGAGAGACAAGGAGGCCGCAGTATTTACCCAACAACTCCTCTCACCTCACTTGCTGAGGGTTATTTCTGCCCCCATAAAAGAAAACCCCCAGGTGCAAGTCTGTGGTGTTTACTGCCAGACACTGTCAACATGTACCAGAAAGGCAGGCTCCGTGGGACACGGCGGGCATCTCCTATACAACACTGAACCAGCCTCAGATCCTGTAAGAATTCACTGCTTCCAACAACTTGTCCTGACACAGCAGGTGCCCAATAAGTATGGAGAGATTACATGAATGAATTTGAAATGTTCCTATAATCCCAGCACTTGGGAAGCTGAAGCAAGAGGATCACTTCCAGCTCAAGGCCAGCCTGGGCTACATAGGGAGACTCTGTCTCAAAAACCCAAACAAAGCAGAAGAGAAAAAAGACATCCCTGCCATGCATGAGGCCTTGCATTTGATTCCAGCACAGCAAAATATATAGATGACAGAAGAAAAAAAAAGAGCGCTCTATCTCCAAGGACTTAGCCACAGAAGTGGGTGAACACTGACCAGTTGTTTCCACAGAAATAATACTTCTGCAAATCTTTTTTATTTTTTATTTATTTATTTTTTTTTTTTTGGTTTTTCTCCTGTACCGGGAACCGAACTCACGACCTTGCGCTTGCCAGTCAGGCGCTTTGCCGCTGAGCTGAATCCCCAGCCCCTACTTCTGCAAATCTGAAAGCCTCTACCAGTCACATAGCAGATTTCAAGAAATGCATTAAGGCTGGGGGTGTAGCTCAGGGGTAGAGCACCTGCCAGCATGCACAAGGCCCTGGCCTCCATCCCCAGCCATGCAAATGAGGTGGAGGGAGAGGGACTGGCACACCCCAGAGCACACTGACATACTGATGATTAGTTGGAGCAGAGGGTCCCAATTGGGGTGATTCTGCCTAACAGCGGGTAACTGTCAGTCTTGGGGTATTTTTAGTGGCCATGGCTGAGGAGTTGATTCTGCTGGTATCTGGCAGGCACAGGCCAGAGATGCAGTCAAGTATCCCACAAGGCACAAGGCTCCCCAGAGCAAAGAATAGTCTGGCCCCAAAAGTCAACGGCACTGAAGTGGAAAAACCCTAAGGTAGGGGCCAGGGAGAGAGAAACGAGACAGAGACATGGGTGAGGGAAGTAGACAAGAAAGGAGAGTGAGGAAAGGAAAAGAGAGGAGGGGAAGAGAGCAGAGGGGAGGGGAGGGAAGGCAAGGAAAGGGAAGTAAAGGAGAAAGGAAGGGAAAGGCAAGAAAAACAACAGGAGGGGAGGGAAAGGTGCTGTGGCTTGTGTCTAGATGTCCCCCCAAAGCTTCATGCGGTCACAAGTGGAGCTTTCTCAGAGGTGGCTGGATCGAGAGTGTGTGATTGATTCCTAGTGCAATGCTAGGATTAAGGGTGTGTGATTACTAAACCAGTCCGCTGATTGGTTTGGCACCTGCTCTAATCCAAGTAGTCTAGATAGAATATAAATGGGGCAGAGACACCCCTTGCTTGCTTTGCTGCCTTCTACCTGCCATGAACAGTTTCTTCTCCGTGATGCCTGTCTGCCGTGCTACCCTGCTTAGAAGCCAGCGAATTACGGACTGAAACCTCTACAAACTGTGAACAAAATAAACCTTTCCTCTTCTTACTTTGGGTGTCAGGTATTTTTTCTCATCATTAGAACAGTAGCTAAGACTGAAGGGATGAGTGGGGAGGAAAGAAAGAGGAAAAAGAAAGGTGGATTTTGGAGTGGGTATTTTTTCAGTCTTTTTGTTGTTATTTTGCGGTGCTGGAGATGGATCCACGGCCTAGAAAATACTAGGCAAGTACTCTACCCCATGAGCTGCAGCCCCAGCCTTGCTGCAACTATTTTTCAATCAACCCACGATCTTAAAAGCTCCACCAACTGACAGTTCCCTGAGTATCTTCACTGAAGACAGTTTTTCAATAAGGGAATCTGATTGGCTCATCTTTAGTCAGGTGACCATCCCAATCCAATCAGTGGAGTCACTTTGCAAAAGAGGTAGGAGAGCCCAGCCACACCCACTCCCCATCTCTTCCTGACACAGACAGAAGGCACCAAGTGTTAACTATCCCTTTATTAGGTGGTAAGGACATGGGGCTGTACAACACAGGGCCTGGGAATTCAGCTACACAGGGATGGCGACCAGAGCCCTATTACAAAAAGAGCCTAAAGATACTTCTAATCTGCTATGAGGTTGGGCCACAGAAGTACCTGGGGGAGAAGGTACCATCCACGCAGGAGCTACCCTGCCCACAGTTCCCACCTTACAGGGAGACAGCATGGAATGCACACACCTCCCCTGACCCATTTCCCACCAGCTACACCCCCCCAGTTCCCAAAGGGAGGTGCCCCAGGCTCTGAGAGGGTGGAGGCTGGAGAAAGGACCCTTCCCCTGCAAGCCTACAGGACTGGAATGCTGTGAAGTGAGGGGGTGGGAAGGAGGCGCCCAGGTCTCCCCTGACCCCTGGCCCCAGAGGGTGCGCCCAAGGGTGCCTACTTGGTACATTCCAGGGCCGTGTACTCGGTACACAGACTCCAGCCCGGCCGAACGGGCCCACAGACTCAGCCCCCCGGGGCCCTGAGGGGTGTACAGGGGAGGGAGCGTCTCTCTATATATATATTTTGTAAAAAATAATAATAATAAGTTTGTTTAAATGAATTTGTTTCTATACAAAATGTAAAAAAAAAAAAAAGAAAAGAAAAAACGAATAACAACCCACTCCTATCAGAGTGAGACAATGAGGGGAGGGGTAAGAGAGAACTGGGAGGTGCGAGGGGCTCCCAGACTCACTACAAGACTGAGAGGACGGGAAGTCAGCCCCCAGCTGTTATAAATAAAGGGAGACTGAGGCTGGGCTGGTGACCCAGCTCGGTCTGGAAGGCAGCGTGCAGCAGGGCTGGTGAGAGAGGGGGAGAGAGGAGAGTTAGGAGCAAAACCAAGATCCAGGAGCTGAGGAGCGAGTTAGGCCAATACCTGCCTCTTCGGGTTGACCTCCGGCTGGGGCCCCAGCTGGGTCTGGGCCTGAGCCAGGGAGCCAGGGGCGGACAGCGGGTGCGGCTGGGATGGCAGAGCCGCAGCCGCTGTGGCTGTGGCCCCAGCAGTGGTAGCCGGGCTGGGTATGGAATCGGACCAGTCTGAGAGAGAAGGCGGGGACGGACTGGCCCAGTGCTCGGGGGACTCCGGAGAAGGGGTCAGGTAAGGGTGCTCGCTGGGGACCCGCAAGAAGCGAGCCTTAGGGGGGCTGCCATGGGCCCCCGCGGCCGGGTATTCCTCGCCATGTCCTGGGGCTGCCAGGTAAGGCGGGGGCCGCTCCTGGGGAGACACAGGGGCCCCAGGGTTGAGCAGCTGTGGTCCTGGAGCCAGGGGCAGCAGGAATGAGGGCCCTGGGGGCGCCGGTGGGGGCAGCCGGGCCCAGTCGAGGGGAACAGCCACCGGGTTCAGCAGGCCCAGGCTGAGCACACAGCCACCAGGGGGCTGGCGGCCCAGCGGCCCTGCCCGGCCCGGCCCACCAAGCTGAGCCAAGGACACGGCCGTGGCAGCGGCAGCCGCATAGGGACCCTCAATGGGGAAAGACCCAGGAGAAGCAGGGGGTCCACCAAAGGCCCTTGGGGAGTCCAGAGAGTCCACAGGCGACAGCGTGACCGAGCTCTCAGCCAGGGGCCCCGGGCAGGCCAGCGTCAGCTTCTTGCCCCGGCCCCGTGTCCCCTGCGGCCCCAGCCCTGCCTTCCCAGGGGGCCTCCTGCTCTTCTTGGCCCCTGATGGGGCTGTCTTGAGGCCTGGGAGGAAGGCCCCGGGGGGGCAGAGCAGGGGGCCCAAGCCATGGGGGCCAGGGGGACTGCGGGGCCCACTCGGCTGGTCCAGCAAGCGCACGATGTCCTGGTGGAGCCGCTCCTGGGCCACATCCCGTGGCAGCCTATCCAGGTGGTCTGTGATCTCCCGGTTGGCAAAGTGGTCCAACAGCAGCCTGGCAGCCTCATAGCTGCCCTCACGGGCAGCCAGGAACAGCGGAGTCTCCTCCTGGAAAAGAGAAGGCATAGAACCCACCAATGTTAGGGGCACCCTGCTCTGTTCAGTAAGGTCTCCAGGCTTTGAGAGTGATTAGAAGCTAAGAATTTGTAGCCTGGAGCTTGACAGACCTGGGTTTGAATCCCAGCTCTGCGGAGGAAAACCAGGCAAAGCTCATTCCCTTCAATGACATTCAGCCAGCAGGGAAGTCAGGTAGGGTGCTCACCATATGCACAAGATTGACAGGGAGTATCAGTCAAAGGCCGGGCATGGTGGCGCACACCTGTAATCCCAGCACTCGGGAGACTGAGGCAGGAGGATCCCTGCAAGTTTGAGGTCAGCGTGGGCTACAAAATGAGTTCAAGGCCAGCCTCAACTGTATAGTGAAACCTTGCCCCAAAAAAGGCAAAAAGAAAAAGATAACCCTCACTCAAAGCCAGGCATGGTGGTCCATGCCTGTAATCTCAGCACTCTGAAAGGCTGAAGCAGAGGATCTCAATTTCTAACTTAGTGAGACTCTGTCTCAGAACAGCGCTGGGGATAAAGCTCAGGGTGAAGGCCCTGAGTTCAATCCCAATACCACAAAAAATAAATAAATAAACTTAAAAAAAAAAAATAACACTTCAGAGGCCAGGTATGGTGATGCATGCCTGTAATCCCAGCATGTGGGAGGCTGAGGCAGGAAGATCTTTGTGAGTTCGAGACCAGCCTGGGCTACAGAGTGAGCTCAAGGCCAGCGTGAACTGCACAGTGAGACCCTGTCTCAAGAAAAAATAAATAAATAAATAAATAAATAAATATTTTTTTAAAAAACACTTCGGTTAATACAGTGTTCAGTCAGTGCAATGTTTCTTAAAAAGTAAGATTTAAGCAAAAAGTATTTTTTATTCCACAGTGAATAAAATATTGAAACTTCAAATAAGGATAGGACTGATCTCTGCAAGCCTCTGAATCTCACATAACAAGTCTTGACGTGGTTTTTATTTTTTTGTTTGTTTGTTTTTTGGTACTGGGAATTGAACTCAGGACCTTGAGCTTGCCAGGCAGTCTACATGGTTTTTACGCAACCAACCTAGCAGTTACCTTTTCTTGAGGGTCTGCTAGGTGCTTTACAAACACATTAGCTCACTGAATGCTCAGGAGATGCAACGGAGTGTGTACTGCTGCTCCTCTACTTTACAGACCAGGAGACAGGTTCAAAGAGGTGAGGCAATGAGCCAAAGGTCACCTAGCAACTTCCTCTTCTCATCCACTGTGGGAAGCTCTCGGCTCCAAAATCCCACCCCTGAATGCTGGCTGCAGGCAGAGTGAATGTCCCCACCCCGCTCTCCGCCACCTGTGGGGCTGTGCCAAGGGCTCACCTTGCTATCCTGCATGTCCTTGTTCGCCCCATTTTTGAGCAGAGCCAAGGTGGCCTCCACGTTGTTCACAGCTGCAGCCCAGTGTAAGGCTGATTTCCCTGGAGGGGGGACAGAGCTGAGGATCAGACCAAACATGCGCTCACGTGCACGCACACACGCACACACGCACACACGCACACACACCTCCCAAACCCAGGGGCACACTGTGTGGACTTCACATGGTTGAGCCCAGACTGAGCTGTCTGCCAGTGCCATGGGACTCTTCAGGGGACACACATCCCCGTTCCCAGCTACTCAGCAGGGCGAGGGAGGAGGGCTCCAAGTTCAAGGCCAGCCTGGCCAATTTAGCAAATTCTTGTTTCAAAATAGACTTTTCTAAAAAGAGCTGGGTTTGTGGCTCAGTGGTAGAA